CAGGTTTTGGCGGCACGTGTAAAGGTTGCGCCATTTTCAAACGCGCTTTCAAATCGTGCCAGCGTCTTTGGTCAACTGTTAACAGCGCCGTCCCCTGAAACTCCATCTTCATTTACTATCATTTTTTTATATCAGTGAAAATGCCAGAATCGCAAACAAATTGACTATCAGCGATGCAAGAGTAGTCAAAGCAAGCGAAAAATCTGTCAACTATGTAGCTGAAGAGCAACGCTGTGAACTGCGATCTATCAAGGAACACAAATACTAGAGTGAGGGATTCCGTTGTCATTTTCCCATAAGCTAATCCCCAGAAGTTTTGGCACTTAGTGACTGTTGCTGCTAGCAAGCGTTAGCATTTTCCAGAGGACAAAATCTAAAATAAGTGCTGACTTTTGATCGGAAAATAAACACATGAAAATGAATCGACATGGAGCAGCTCTAGCCCTCATCCTAGATGAAGTATGCACTATTTCAATTAAACTGAAGAAACTACCACATTCCGAAGACCGGCCAATAATTCTTTCATATTTTTTTAAAAGTCATTTCACTGACTGAATATTACTGTTGCTACTGTTGCAGCAAAAAGACTGAAATCAGTGAGGATGAATAGAATGAAAGGCTGCTTACTCTGTTTTCAGTATAATTAGCAATAACAACGCCAACGAAAAGTGTTAAGCCAATCATGCACCCGATGAACACATAAATGTGTATAAAAACAACTGCCCACTGCAATTTTCTCCGTTACAAATTTCACAGATTTAAAAACGGGCAGCACCGATCATATGAAAATGTCACATAGACGTTATACAAGGGGGCACAGCCTGTACAAATAATACCGAAACGACATACAAATAGAAATGCTTACAGGTCCTTGTCTCATCCACAAGATATCTCGAATAACATTCCACCCCTTGTAGGATAAAGTCTCAAAAAGCGCTAACATCGCATTTCCAATATGATCGAAATTGAAGTTTCGAGGATTTGTCCTGCAAATTTTAAACCCTTATCTTGCACATTAATGCCCTGAAGAAGTAGCATCGTCTGAAACCGTATTTCTAAGATATTACGCAATGTAACCAATAAAAATTTGTCACTCTTTCGCTAGATAATACTCTCAAAGAGCTAAAGACATTACCAAACTCG